GATCTACTAATGTTCTCGTTAAAATGTGTTCGGCTACATTCATACAGCAGTTCAGCTGCAGATAGTTTGCGGTGTTCAGTGTGCTAAATGCCGCTTCTGCTATGGTTGCATACAAATTGGCCTGTGTGCAGTTTGTGTGGTCAGACCTCCGCAGAAACGCTGACCCTGAATGCACACTGGCTGTGTCCAGGTTCAGTTGTAGACTGTGTTCATTGCTCAGAGTACAAATCCGACAGCTGCAGTTGTTCGCATAGTGTGTGCAAGCAGTATTTACAACCTCTGGAAAGAATCTCCAGATCCTTGCCATCGGCTGCCCCTGCCACAGAGAAAATGTAAGGCTGTAGCATATCAAGCTAGGACTTAACCCCTTGTTGGTTCAGTAGACATACAGATTGCTAAAGGGTAGATATTAGTGTTGTACTTGCAGCTCATTTGGAAATGAAACAGTTACTAGTAGTGTACCATAAGGCTGTATGCTAGGTCCTACTCTGTTTAATCTGTTTGTAAGTGATATAACTGAACCTTTGGTGTGTAAAGTATTCCATTTTGCTTATGACACAACAGAACGTAAAGTGGGTTTATGTTCCTGGAGGTATTTAGCATTGCTGGAAAATAGTCAAAGCAGTGAAGACTCCAGTTCATTATTGCTCCTAAATGTAAAAAAAAAAAAAAACCTTGGGGTATAGTACTAGCCAAAGCTTTAGATAAAAACATTATTGGCTTCTTATTTGAAAAGATTGCAAAATATATCAACAATGTGGCCAGACAATGAGGAATACAGTTCTGGGTGGCTTGAAGAGAGGGATCACCAGCAGGAAGAAAGGTCCTGACTCCACTGTATAGAACTTAGACCTCATGAACAGTACACTCCTGAAGAACCCACTTTAAAAAAAAAAAAAAAAAAAAAAAAAAATATTGAAAAGATCCAGAGCCTAATAAGAAAACTTATGCAAAATCTAAAATGGATAAAAAAAAAAAATATATAACAGAAGAGGCAGAAGGAACATCTATCTACAGCTTCAATAGGGGAAAAAAAAAAAAAAAAGGGTACATTACTGAAGCCTTTAAAAGGAGAAGTAGGGCCAAAGCTATTTTGGCTTTACTTCTATGGATTACAGGAGTGTAGTTGGTCCACAGTTGGTCCAGGTTCAGGAAAGATCCCAACTTTACAGTCAGGTTCCACCCAGATGCCCAGACTGGCAGCTAGCTTAGCCTCTTAGCAATCCTCTGAGTGTCTGAGCCAGTCACTCCCACTGCGCAACAGCCCAGCGCTCCAGTGAGTGCTGGAGGGGCAGACAGCCAGTAACTGACAGACTGCATACTGAAGACTGAGACATAACCGATAAGGGGTCTTTGATCGCTCAGTTCTCAGTCTTAGAAGCGGCAGGAGACAGATGCAGCACAGCTAGAAGTTGATAGGGGAATCCCCCCCCCACCGCTATTGTGTTCAGCCAGTGGGGAGCCTGCCCATACATGGATCAAATTTCGTCCGGCCCCTGATGAACCAGCCACGATTTGAGCCATCTATGGCCGGCTTCATATGGATATCGGAAACCTGAGGGAACACTGGGGAAGCGGACAAGCACTATAGTAGTCTGTGGCTCTACAGTGTTAGCCACACTCCTCTGGGCCTGCACAATGACCACAGGAGAAAGTTGCTCATTTGCCACTGCCACCATTCACAGAACACCATGACTTTTGTTTTTTTGTTTTTTAAAGTGGGGAGGAGGGGCAGTGTCATGACAAACTTTACTTCATGCAATCAGAGAATGCCGTGTATTAACTGAAAAAAAAAAAAAAAATTACAAGAAGTTCTGCAACTGGAAGCAAACAAGAGTCCCCCTATGGTACCCTCAGGTATAAAATATGCATACTTACATTAGTCCAAACTAACCAATGTAAATATGAAATAAAAGATCACACCTGGAGATCAGCTTTAAATATGAGGCTGTGAAAAAAAACTCAAGGAGGGCAGTATTGTCACTATAAAGTTAAGCTCAAGAACACAGGGGAATGACATCAAACTGAGGAACCGTTCAGTTGTTACTTTTCCCAAACAGTACAGGGTACCGGAAACAGACTTCAGGTAGTGGTTAAACCAGTTACCAGTAAGTAGAATTCCGGGAATTTTTTTCGCCCGGGCCATGGGACTGTGCCCTCACTGCACTGGTTGAACGCGCGTTTTGTTCTAGGGGGGAGAGGACACCGAAGATATACTCACCAGACCCACAGATCCTCCCTGCACAAGACCAGTCCCTTTCACCTCCAACCACCCCCCCCCCGCATGGCCCAGAGGCCTTGTAAATGGACGGTTCCTGATCAATGCACACTCCATAGACAGGAAAAGTCCACCAATGGACCATGGGGGGGGGGTTGGGACATGTTTTTCCATATGATCAGCGGGACAGGCGAGTATAAGCTTAGTCGTCACCTCTAGAAAAAAAAACAAGTAGCTGATCCATGCAGCCCCACTGCATGGTAAAAAAAAAAAAAAAAAAAAATCAATATATAAATTGACTGAACTTCTGTTTTAAAAACACTTGAAATGTATCAGTGTGAAAGAGCCCTTAAGGTAATTTCACAAGGGAGGCATCCTAAAAAAAAAAAAAAAAAAAAAAAAAAAAAAAAAAAAAAAAAAAACTCATGAATTTGGAATCAGGTGACACCTGTTTGCACATCCCTCTCTGGTTCAGTTCACATTGCTTTTGCAGTAATCATGCTTAGGGCCATATGTATTCTAGAATGTATGTCCTAATCGCTGAATTTTTTAGGTCAGGAACACATACTGTACATTCCTAAGAACAAGTACCACTTGTTACAGCATCCTATTGCTACATATTTCAGCCCAAGATTTTGACAGGCTGTTGGTAGGAGACGGACGCTGCACCTGTACCTCATAGGAAACCAAAATGCAAGGAATTGATGCCAAGAGACCAAACTGCCCATATGCATGAGGCCTTAGTTGACAGCCTACTAAATTTATATGCCACAGTGATTTTTGTTTTACTAAAAATGTTTATTCAAAAGAGGTCCTCAAGCTGCTATTTTTTTATGGAACATATATATGTACTGTATTCAACCTCAAAACTAGTTTTCATTATGTTTGGACTCATGTCTTACACATACAATTTCCTTAAATCACATCATTATTTGTGAATCTGCTGCAAAATATCTTACCTGGAGATCTTGTCAATAACAGCACTTCCTATTTCAAGCTAACAATGCTAGGATATGGCCTAAAATGTGCCTCTATCAGTCAGCTGTGTGTACGCGTTTAGTTGACCATTGGGCTGCCTATCAAGCACTAAGGCCTGCATTAATGGGCTTTGGGCTTGTGTGTATAGCATCAGTGTGAAAAGCTTCTGAGTTTGTGAGAAGCTATTCTAAAAAGGTATGAAAAAATTGTGGCACAAATGTAAATTATTCATGATTGCAAATGTATTGCTCTGCCCTGTATATACAAGCAAACACCATCAGAAACTCATATTGCTATCATTCACTTGCAGGCCATTGAACTTACAGAAGAACGGAAAATTAAGCCGTACATAAACTCTCTAGTTGGAACTTACGCAAGGCTGAGAACTGTGTCCTCAAACCATGTTACAACACTAAATGATCACCAGGTTCCTGCCCTGTCACAAGAGGTAGGAGAACGAGGCACATGCTCCTCCACATACTGAAGTTCCTGATATTTTTCTCACTCTCAGTGGCTAACTAAATAAATGAGAGAAGGGGAAGTTTTGTGGCACTGGGAAAGGCAAAGCACATGTTCTAACATCATGCAGAAAGACTTTTCAATCACACAATGCACAAAAATGTTTTTATTGCATACATTTAAAATAGTATTTCTAACATGCCATTAAATGATACATAAAAACTGCACACATAGAAAATGACAAATATACATCTCATAATTCTTTTTAAAAACTAGCTTTAAACCAGAACCTGCCCCCCTCACCTCTCTGCCCACCCTCACACTTATGTCTCCAGGGAGCTTAAAGAAGTAAAGGCATAAAACATTTTATCCCATCTTGGATAGAGTAAGGGAGAGTGATGACCTATCAATTTTTGTTTCCTCTCTATCTGGATGGGAAGCGAGAGGAAATCCCTTCTAAGTGAGGAAATCCCAGGATGTCACCAGAACTAGTGTCCTCATTGGAAGATTTCCCCACTAGCCGCCTTCTAGGCACAACCCAAAAACGTAGGATTTTTTTTTCTTTTTTAAGTTAAAACTGTCAGCAATCTATGCAATAGGCAGGGGCCGATTTTATAGTAGAAAGTGAGAAACAGAAAAGTATCTATCTGTGCATAGGCTGTGATCTGTAGCTGCATGGGGTTTATAGTATGGCCTCATTCACACAGTTGTACCAATACATACACCCATGAAATGGGGAGTCTTCTCCAGCGAGGGATGCACAGGTGTTCTGTGCAGGCAGCCTATTCAAATCAAAAGCAGGAGTGCAGCTGCATGGATGTCAAGGACATCCCCAACTGTGCATCTGTACAGAAAGACTGTTCTGATCTGAACATCAGTCCCATACAGATCTACAGTCAAGAATGATCTTTAAATCAGTGTAGCCTGTCACTAATTTGAAGAGACTACATGCACAGAACACCTGTGCATCACATGCAGGCGAAGTGGGTACTCCACACAGTTGTATGGATCAGTACACTTGTGTGCATGAGGCCTATATGTATCTTTTTTGCTTTCAGGTTCCAGTATGCTGCAGTAATACATTTTCTTGAAAAATGCATTAAACAGGAATACCAACCAGAATAAAAGTAAACGTCCCACACAACTGCAACTCTGATAACAGCCAGGTTTTCTTTCCTGCATCCAAGTTAGGTTGGTATATAGAAAGCAGATTACCAACGGTCATCTACTCATGTGCTAGGAAATGGATTAATGGCATTCTCAAGAAGGCTGACCTCACTTTATAGAATCTTGTAAGAAACCATCTTTATCTACCATAAGGTAAGTTCTTAGGTCATCAACTGCATCACGTAACAGACTTATCTTCTGGGCTTGGGGGAGATGCCATTTTGTTGTCGTCTTCTGACTGATCTGGAACTTCTTCTCTTCTGCTGCTCTCAAGCAGCAGCTCTAGGGCGTCTTCTCCTACAACACGATGAACTTTTTCCCCCTTGGCTGCCAAGATTTCTTCAATATTCCTTCAGTGCAATAATACCAAAAACAACCCCAATCACAGAAAGCACTTTTTTTTTTTTTAAACAATGATGTTGTGTGTGTAATCATGGACATTTTATGTACTGTAATCATGGACATTTTTTAAAAAATGATGTCCTCTAGCTGTTTTTACACATGGAATACAGTGTCTTAAAGTGACCCCAATGCTGGAAAGAGAAAAAAAAAAAAAAAAAGCAAAAACAAAAAAGCCCCTGAAAAGGAAGTGATTTCATACTTACCTGATCAGCCAAATGTTCATACTCTACTCCAGAACTATGCCACTCAAAAAATCTTCACACTTTGGGTGTATCCAAAGTTCCCTCTACAGGACACAATAGAAACGTAGGGTGTCAACAGGAGGAACCACAGACTGTGGCAGGGGAAGCTGGCATCTGAAATTCCTGGAAGTGTGTTGAATGTAAAAATCATTCAAATATTGTAGCTCTGCAGCAGAGCAAATATTTTATCAATGGGCATTGGACCAGGCAGTATAAAGTCTCTTCATTTACAGGTGAAAAGTAAAAAGCAAAAACTTCAAGGCTCAATTTGAAGTTTTCAAGTGCTGGAATATGTCCTAAGAAGGGTAGAACAAGCAGCAAGTATATAGCTTTGTGAGAGGCTCTTCAAAAAGTAAAGGCATGCAGTCATCAAGTTCATGGGTCACCATATAAATACCTCTTCACTGCAACAGGTGCATTTGTTCTTAAAGAACACAATTTTCCTTTGAAAGATAAGGCAATAATAGGGCATCAGAAGCTGCCACCCCTGCCCCCACCACCACTTGCCGGTACAAAGCCTGGGTCTAATCCCTATGTAAGCCTTATGTCTGACATTACAGAAAGTTACTGGTATTACGCCACATTTTGGGCCTTGCAATTGACCTGTCAGGGCAACACAGTGCATCCTGGGAGGAAGGGTATGTGGTCATTTTCCAGACGTAGCTGTGAGGAGATATTCTAACAATAAAATAACCAGAGTTACAGATTCTCTATAAATATTTCTTGCCATCACCAAGTTTAAGTTAAATATTTATAATGAGGTTTCAGAAGGGATGACAGTAAACCTATCAGTAGTTGGAATGGTATGCTGGGATTTTTAGTCACTGTGAAAGTGGCATGGTGCTGCTTGCCCATGTACGCTGTAAACAATTTTAAAAATAAAGTAGAAATATCAGCACTATTTACCTTTTCCCTTCCAGGTCGGAGAACCAGCCCAAGTTGTCGGCGATGATGTGGTGGTTCTTGCAGCCAGGGCATTTCACGATCACCACTCCACTGTGATACGCCAACTTTGAGATTTTCTTCATAGACCTTGTTGAGCAAACCTGAAAAGAGCAGAAAAAAAAAAAATGGAGGTAAAGTATTGGCAAGGTACCATTTCTGGTAAATTATCACATTATCCATGCCAAGTAAATATATAAACTGCTGCAAGTAATCCATCTTCATTTGATCTGCTGATGTTGGAAGCAACAGTTTGTTAATATTTCCAGCACAGAGCACTGTGTTGGGCCAACATTAGCACTGAGGGTGGAGTCTGCCTCCACATGTAAATGGGGAGAGGCACCTACATTGTACCTAGTCAATGAAGACAAACATATTATACATACAACAATGGAAGGATCATAAATTACTACATATGGAAATAAGAATGTTAGTATTAAACGGACACTCCAAAAAATTGGGTGGAGTAGAAAACAAATTAAGTTGTATCAATGGTATTCCAGGCAATGAGCATGACAATTAAAGCTGAATTCCAGGCACCAAAACATATTTAAATATGTTCCTTTTTTTATATATATATATATATATATATATATATATATATATATATATATATATATATATATATACACACATACATACATATATATACACACACACACACATATATATATATATATATATATATACACACACACACACTAAAAAAAATTAAAGGAACACTTTGTAATCAGAGTATAGCATCAAGTCAGTTAAACTCCTGGGATATTGATCTGGTCAGTTAAGTAGCAGAGGGAGTTGTTAATCAGTTTCAGCTGCATTGGTGTTAATGAAATTAACAACAGGCACACTAGATGGACAACAATGAGACGACCCCCAAAACAAGAATGCTTTTCCAGGTGGAGGCCACAGACATTTTTTTTTATTTTCTGATCTCTTCTGACTGTTTTTCATTAGTTTTGCATTTGGCTAGGGTCAGCGTCACTACTGGTAGCATGAGGCGATACCTGGACCCTACAGAGGTTGCAGAGGCGGTCCAACTCCTCCAGGATGGCACATGAACACGTGCCATTTCCAGAAGGTTTGCAAAGGCATTATAGCATGTGCAGAGATATGGGGGGGGGGGCACAGGCTCAACCCACCACAGGTTGCTTGCAGGGGAAAAGAAAAGAAAAAAAAAAAAAAAAAAAAAACACAGGAGGGGGTGGAGACAAGACCAGTCACCATGCACAAGGAGAGAGAGCGCAGCAGTAACTGGTCTTCAGTACAGGAAGCCCTTGGACAGAGAATTGTGTACATTAGATTACTATACAGATCTAAAAGAAATACACAAAGCACATCAAGACTCAAATATTTACATAAGACATGCCTCCTGTAAATAGATATTTGCTTTTTTTCCTGAGTTTCAGTTTCAGGGCCTGTTCACACCAAGTGCGGTAGAACTGCACTGAGCAGCTATTATTTATTTTTGTCAGGTACTTATATTGCAACGTCAATTTACACAGCGCTTTACATATATATTGTACATTCACATCAGTCCCTAACCCTCAAGGAGCGTACAACCTAAGGACCCTAACTCACATTCATATACAAGGCCCAATTTAGACAGGATCCAATTAACCTACCAGCATGTCTTTGGAGTGTGGGAAGAAACCGGAGAACCCGGAGGAAACCCACGCAGGCACAGGGAGAACATGCAAACTCCAGGCAGGAGGTGTCGTGGCTGGGATTCGAACCAACGACCCTAGTACTGCCATTTAGCCACTGTGCTGCCCGTGCAGCTATTCCAGTGCAGTCCCACCACAAGGTAAAGCAAGATGCCTCATCTCCTACCAGTCTGTTTCACATCACAGTGTCGTGGTAGTGTGTGCTGAAAAAAAATACTGCATGCATTACTGTTTTTTTTTTTTCCCAGTGCAGCACAGTCCATGGCCTTGCACTGCGGCCAATGGTACTTATTGAAATGTCACTGTGAAATTTCAATAAACATATACAGCACAATTTGCTGCGATCAGCACCACTATCATTCTGCAACCAAACAACTTAAGTGGCCCTAGATCCTCAAAAGTTGCTCTAGGGCAGCGGTCTCAAAACGTTCTAAGCAAAGGACCAGTATACTGTCCTGCTGGCTTTATGGGGGCCTGGGCTGCAGCCAGTGGGAGTAGAAAATACCTCGGGTACAACGCCCCATCATTGGTTTATATTAGAAGAATAGTGCCCTATTGATGGTGTCAGTAGGGGGAATGGTGCCCCATCATTGGTGTCAGTTGGTGAAATAGTGCCCCAAGGGCCAGGTAAAGGCAAACAGTCACAGTTTGGAGACCACTGCTCTAGGGCATCTGCTTTAGAAAAAGAAAAAAAAAAAAAAAAAAAAAAAAAAAAAAAAGAGATATATATAAAATTCGGGGGTTCTAAGTACTTTTCTAGCAAAAAATACTGATTTGTGTTTAATTCTTGCCCGTCTGCAAGCAGCCCTATACTGATCATTACAGCTATAAATATAAGGGCCGTCCACACAAGCCTGAAGCCCAAATCGCTATTTGAGCTGCACAGCTGAGCGGCAGGGGGTGGCATGATACGCATTGTATTACATTACACAGCTACTTCTCCCCCTTTCTGAATGCATAAAGTGACGCTTCATTCATGTCAGTATACAGCATCATGGAGCGCAGTGACCTACAGGGCCATCCAGAGTGGTGCAATAATTTCCAGACATGTTCTATAATATAGGCTCTTCTCTTCCTTGTCTGTAATTCCAGAATATCGCAGTGCTGTGGGAACACCGTGTAACACTGCGCGCTGGTCTGACCAGGACATACCAAAAACGATTGTTTTGTGTTGGTCATTGCAGTTATGGTAACTGCACAGAGTGTAGAATGGGCCCTTACTGCAAGCGTACCACATTAACCCCGGGTTCACATTAGTGCGGTGCGGTATATCGCATGTGATTCGCACAGGAACCGCACCGCATTCCTGTACAAATCACATGCGATTTGTGTGCGGTGTGATTGCAGCCATACATTTTATATGTCTCTATTCACACGCATCAAAAAGTTACAGGAGCCTTTTTTTGGGTCCGCAGTAGAATCGGATCACGTGGGTATACACACCTATGCGATCCTGAACATCGCACCACGTTTTGTGGCCTGCTTCCGGGGTGTTGTCGACTTAACATACACACCCACAGCGGTTCACATGAATGGGGTGCGATGCGGAACTGGCACAGAAAACACTGAATTCCGCACTGCATCAGTGTGAACCATGGCTGATACTACAAAGTGAAAGTCTATTGAATGCCGAAACATTTTCTAGCTTTGGATGGAGTGTGGAAGGGTTAGGCTACTTTCACACTGCTTAGTTGCAAAAAGACATGGGTGCGTTTATGCATTTTCCATTAATTTCAACAGGAAGGTGCGTTTTTGGTACTTTTTTTTTTTTTTTTTTAACCGCACCAAAACATGCAGCAAGCAGGACTTTGAAAAGCATAAGCACCCACAACTGACGAGTGTTTAGGGTTCCATAGGATTTGATGGTCATGCATTTTTCTTCAGCTTTTAATACAAAAGCGGATCAGTGTGAAAGCAGCCCTAGATCTGACGTCTGTCTGTTACCCCAAGCTGGCTATTCTGAGCACCACTGCACTGCCTGAGCACAGAATGGTTTCATTGATCTGACTTGAGAGTCTAGCAATATCACCCTCCCCAAGGTGCTGAATGCTGTCGTGTCCTGGCTGGAGGGATTCCCCTTCTCTATTGGCCCTGGTGAAGCTTTTCACTTTAACAGAAAGGGAGGAGAAATGTAAAATACTAAGGTTGTCACCGTAAGAGGAAGAAAAGTTGTTTTCCTTCAGCAACACCTATTTTGGTAACAAATACAGGATAATTCCTCTCAGTTCCTGTTGTCTCAAGAATAGGAAGTTGAGAAATCTCACCACTGGAGACACAAATGCTTCAAAATGGCGGATGCTGCATGAAGTGCACCCTCCTATCCACTAGAGGCACCCTCAGGAGTATTCTTCTGACAGAAGCTTGTTTAACCCCTGGACACAAGGAGTCATGGCAGTGTGAGAAGTAACTAATAGTACAGTGAATGACGAGCCGTCTCCTCACCCGGCAGGTGTATATGAGCTGATAGTGGCTGGCCGGGGCGCCGCCCACACTTTGGTCACTGTACCGCTGGGCAGAGGTGTGGAGTGGGGCGTTGTTTCCAGGCACATACAGGAAAGTCTGGGTGTGTGTGGCCCCTCTGGCCCCCGAGCTGCTTACGTGACCCGCCCTGAAACCACGCGGTCCCCTCAGGCGAGATAAGAGCCGCCAGCAGCGTGCTGCCAGCATGGTTCAGGAGTCTAGTGGCACAAGACCGGAAGTTAGTGTGCGGAAGATTGCTACGGCCATCTTGCTCATGGGCACGGGAACCTTTCACTAGGTCTGTGAGGCGGGTGTTAATACGAGGAGAACAGCCAATCCGCTTGTCGCTGTCTTGGTTCCGGGCGGTTGATAAGTTATCGGCTTTTTGTTTACATATAGGGTTTACGTCACTTCTGATCCTGGAAACTGCTTTATTAAGTGGGCGGAACTGAAAGAATGAGTTTACAAAGCACCAGCACCACCCCCTATGGGGAGTACCTCCTGTTCTTCGTGTGGTGTGTTACAAATGAAGCACCCATTTACATTGGCTGTCATTGTCCAGAGCCTAGACTTGAGGCTGTATATTGCATTTCAAACACACAACACAGATGTGAACTAGAACAATAGTAAGCACTTGACCTCTGAAAGGTTTTAGCCCCTTCATGACCAGGGCATTTTTTTTCTTGTTATTCGGCACTGTGCTACTTTAACTGGCAATTGTGGAGTCATGCAGCACTGTACCCAAATTAAAGTTATATCATTTTTTTCACTCAAACTGAACTTTCTTTTGGTGGTATGTAAGTTGTTACTATACCTAGGACCCTGCATTCACTATACCTGGTCTCCCACAGTACATACAACTTGGAAATGCAATTATTTAGTAAATATAAACTGCTAAATACCTTTTCTCATCAGCAGTTAGAGCAGTCTTGTGACTTCTATCAGTGTTCAGCAGAGCACTGGTTAAAGCTTGTAAGAGGAGTTTTCATTCTCCCCTGCTTGTCATGAGGCTGCAGGACCCCTGACCCTCTGTCTGGACAATGCTGATTGGACCTGTGCTGGTCACATGCACTCTCCCAAGAAAGAAACCTCTCTAGCAATACCCACCAACAGATGGATTGGGGACAGTAGAAGAAGATCCAAGCATCAAACAGTTTTTTTACACAATGCAGAGGATTAACCCTGTAGAAGAAGGGGAGGAGTGACTAAAGCAAGCACGCTTTACAGCATATACAGACTGATTTTACTGTTGTGGGTTTAGTAACACTTTAATCACCACTGGGTTTTTTCATTTTTTTGCTAAATTAAAAAAAATAGAAAAAATGTTGGGGGAAAAAGGCTGGCGATACATTATACAATTTTCTTGAGAATTTTGCTTTAGATTTACCAAAAGCCATATAATATGAGGTCAAACCTAAACAACACTTTCAATTGTAGCCAATTAGGCAGGCCCTTGCACTACATAGTTGTAGGTAAATTTAAAGGAAATTGGGCAGAAATGTGTAAGAAAATTGTATAGTGCAGTGATGGCGAACCCGTGGCACGCGTGCCACAGCCGGCACGCCGAGCCTTATCTGTGGGCACGCCAGGAGAATCCAGCGGCGCGCTGTCTTCCCGGCTGTAGTGTGCGTGACAGCCGGGTCCCAAGTGCGCATGCACAAGAAGCAGTGCTCTTTGTGAATGGTAAGGCGGTACCTGGGACACATGACAGATCCCAGAAGCCGCCGGACCAATCACAAAGCGCAGCGCTTCTCGCGCATGCGCACTGGGCATCCGGCTGTCCGACGAGCGCCCACACTACAGAAGCCGGGAAGACAGCGCACGGCTGGATAAAGGAACAGGTAAGATAAAAAAAAAACTCTGCGGAAGTAAGAGCGGGTACCTGTCAAATTCAGGTACCCGCTCCCCCTCCCTCCCCAAAGGTCAGCAGTCATCTCTGTACTGTCCGCAGTCTCTGGTCATCCCTGTGCTGTCCGCAGTCATCTGTGCTGGTCATGGTCATCCCTGTGCTGTCCGCAGTCTCTGGTCATCCCTGTGCTGTCCGCAGTCTCTGGTCATCCCTGTGCTGTCCGCAGTCTCTGGTCATCCCTGTGCTGTCCGCAGTCTTTGGTCATCTCTGTGCTGTCCGCAGTCTCTGGTCATCTCCTGTACTGTGTCCGCAGTCTCTGGTCATCCCTGTACTGTCCGCAGTCTCTGGTCATCCCTGTACTGTCCGCAGTCTCTGGTCATCCCTGTACTGTGTCCGCAGTCTCTGGTCATCCCTGTACTGTCCGCAGTCTCTGGTCATCTCCTGTGCTGTGTCCGCAGTCTCTGGTCATCTCCTGTACTGTTCGCAGTCTCTGGTCATCTCCTGTACTGTTCACAGTCTCTGGTCATCTCCTGTACTGTGTCCGCAGTCTCTGGTCATCTCCTGTACTGTGTCCGCAGTCTCTGGTCATCTCCTGTACTGTGTCCGCAGTCTCTGGTCATCTCCTGTACTGTGTCCGCAGTCTCTGGTCATCTCCTGTACTGTGTCCGCAGTCTCTGGTCATCTCCTGTACTGTGTTTGCAGTCTCTGGTCATCTCCTGTACTGTCCGCAGTCTCTGGTCATCCCTGTACTGTCCGCAGTCTCTGGTCATCCCTGTACTGTGTCGGCAGTCTCTGGTCATCCCTGTACTGTGTCCGCAGTCTCTGGTCATCCCTGTACTGTCCGCAGTCTCTGGTCATCCCTGTACTGTGTCCGCAGTCTCTGGTCATCCCTGTACTGTGTCTGCAGTCTCTGGTCATCCCTGTACTGTGTCTGCAGTCTCTGGTCATCCCTGTACTGTGTCTGCAGTCTCTGGTCATCCCTGTACTGTGTCCGCAGTCTCTGGTCATCCCTGTACTGTCCGCAGTCTCTGGTCATCTCCTGTACTGTGTCCGCAGTCTCTGGTCATCCCTGTACTGTGTCCGCAGTCTCTGGTCATCCCTGTACTGTGTCCGCAGTCTCTGGTCATCCCTGTACTGTCCGCAGTCTTTGGTCATCCCTGTACTGTGTCCGCAGTCTCTGGTCATCCCTGTACTGTGTCCGCAGTCTCTGGTCATCCCTGTACTGTGTCCGCAGTCTCTGGTCATCCCTGTACTGTGTCCGCAGTCTCTGGTCATCCCTGTACTGTGTCCGCAGTCTCTGGTCATCCCTGTACTGTGTCCGCAGTCTCTGGTCATCCGCCTGGTCATGTACTGTTAATGAGTTTGCACTACTGTACGAGTTGTTTTTTCTAAACCAAAAGCTTGATATTCAGGTTTCATTGCAGTGTTGGCACTTTGAAAGAAATAAGTTGGTTTTGGGTTGCAGTTTGGGCACTCGGGCTCAAAAAGGTTCGCCATCACTGGTATAGTGTATAAACAAGTCGAGTATCTGGCTGCTAGTCCCTATATGAATGCACGTGCCCAAAGAACCCCCAGTGGGACATTAATGCAGCAATAGGATCATACATACAGTTGTGTTCAAAATAATAGCAGTGTGTTAAAAAAAAAGTGAATAAAGCTGAAAATCCTTCTAATAGCTTTTATTTCCATACACACAAATGCATTGGGAACACTACACATTCTATTCCAAATCAAAACATGAAGAAAAATATATCAAATTTGTGCTGTTCCTCTAAAAAAAATTGAAGAAAAGTGAATATTAGACTGTTCAAAAAAATAGCAGTGTTTGTATTCTTCTTTACAAACTCAAACATTCACTATATAAACTGAAAAATGTTTGAAGATTCTGCTTTCCTTTGAATCACTTAATTAATATTTAGTTGTATAAGCACTGTTTCTGAGAACTGCTGTACATCTGTGTTGCATGGAGTCAACCAACTTCTGGCACCTGTGAACAGGTATTCCAGCCCAGGATGATTGGACTACATTCCACAGTTCTTCTCTATTTCTTGGTTTTGCCTCAGAAACTGCATTTTGATGTCACCCCACAAGTTTTCTATTGGATTAAGATCCAGGGATTGGGATGGCCACTCCATAACGTCAATCTTGTTGGTCTGGAACCAAGATGTTGCACGTTTACTGGTGTGTTTGGGGTCGTTGTCTTGTTGGAACACCCATTTCAAGGGCATTTCCTCTTCAGCATAAGGCAGCATGACCTCTTCAAGTATTCTGATGTATTCAAACTGATCCATGATCCCTGGTATGCGATAAATAGGCCCAACACCGTAGTATGAGAAACATCCCCATATCATGATGCTTGCGCAACCATGCTTCACTGTCTTCACAGTGTACTGTGGCTTGAATTCAGTGTTTGGGGGTCGTCTGACAAACTGTCTCCGGCCACTAGACCCAAAAAGAACAATCTTACTTTCATCAGTCCACAAAATGTTGCGCCATTTCTCTTTAGGCCAGTCAATGTGTTCTTTGGCAAATTGTAACCTCTTCAGCACGTCTTTTTTTCAACAGTGGGACTTTGCGGGGGCTTCTTGCAGATAGCTTGGCTTCACATAGGCGTCTTCTAATTGTAACAGTACTCACAGGGAACTTTACACCTTCTTTGATCTTCCTGGAGCTGATTGTTGGCTGAGTCCTTGCCATTTTGGCTGTTCTTCTAGCCATTCGAATGGTAGTTTTTCGCTTTCTTCCACGACTTTCAGGTTTTGGTTGCCATTTTAAAGCTTTTGCGATCATTTTAGCTGAGCAGCCTATTATTTCCTGTACTTCTTTATATGTTTTCCCCTCTCCAATCAACTTTTTAATCAAGGTACACTGTTCTTCTGAACAATGTCTGGAACGACCCATTTTCCTCAGAATTTCAGAGAGAAATGCACTGTAACCAGCATGTACAACATTTTCTGCCTTCCTTCCTTAAATAAGGGCAATAATTGCCACCTGTTTTTCAAAGAATGAATGACCTCACTAATAGAACTCCATACTGCTATTATTTTGAACATGCCCCTTTCAATTAGTGATTCAATTGCACAGAATCAGCAGCATGCATGTCATGACTGTTGGGTCTGTTGGATTTCTATTACTCTACTACACCTACTAGTAAATTATTTACCATGTAGAAACATCATTTCTACTAAAAACAGTGATTGATCAGGTTAGTGATGTCTGACTGCTATTATTTTGAACACAACTGTATATTGAAAAAGACAGTTGGTTAAAAAAAGTTTTTTTTATCAACTTTATTACATACACACACACAAAAAAAAAGATGCTGTAGGGAACAAATCCACCTCTTGGTATTCTGACT